CATAGGATTTTCTAAATTATATGAATGAACAAATTTACTTGACTATTGCAAGAACACATATTTGGCAGTAAATCCACAAATGAAATGTGGGTTAATTCTGAATAATTGGCTTTAATAACTGAATGAAGGTTACTCTCTCACCTCCACCAGCCTTATTTTTGTTATCCAGCAGTTTTGTGTCCTTGCAAAAGTATCTCTCTATTGCTCCTGGAGATGAGGAAGATTAAATATCTTGGGAGGATCCTGGCATAGAACTAACTCAACATCGTGGTAGCCCTTCTTTCTGAAAGAGGCTATGGATCATAGCTTAATGGCCCATAGGAATGGAACTACATTTGGTTCCATGCAAACATTGTTTGTGGAAATGCCTGAAATCTTAACACACATTTTTCCGCGTAACGTTCTTATGAATTTTACATTACTTCCCCAGATTTCCAGTATTTTTATGAACTTTTCAGCCAAGAAGGATAGATTGATACCATACATGATACAGCTTTATATTTAGCATGATGCCATTTAAATTAAACAAAATGCACACAAATAAATGTAGACAACTTTTCTAAATCTGAGTTTCAGATTTGGATTTCACTTGAATCATTTACTTTTGGACAGAAAATCTGATTATTAACTTTTAGCTATATTCTAAAAAGTTGGAGTACAGGAAATGAACAAGCATCTGTGGAAACATGTTCTTCTCCTTTAGAACCGTGTACATCCTGATAGTAAAAATCAATCAAAACTTGTTTACAAAGGTTATTTTTAGCATGAAAGAATATCTTCTTTGAATATTACAGTAGACGTTTCCCCTAAGAAGACAAGCCCTTGTTGTATATTGATTATTAGCATTTTACTGACTCTCTATAACTTATAATTTTCCATGTGAACAAGGCTTGCATTTTCAAATATAGTACAACTTTCCAGTATTAAGTAATTTGTGTATTCCTACCCAAATATTATTTTCAATACTGTAGCAGAGCTATGCCACACAGACATACACTGCAAATTTTTTGTTCTCTGTGTGGTGAAAATAAAAACTTCTGTCCATTCCAATAGATCCATGGACTTATTTGTTCTTAGTTTATCATATGCTTTAATGTACTGTAAAAAATAAAATGAACAGTTAACACAGTGCAATAAAAGCTTATTGTATTTAATTTAGAATATGAATGTCACTCAGCCCAGACTTTGGCCGGCAGAGTGCGGCATGAGGCCATCCAGGCCAAAAATTGAGCACGGGGGCTTCATGCAACTCCTCCATGCCCCATTTTGGCTGGCAGGGTGCTGCTCCCCCAGCCAATCTGTGGAGGAGAACTACAATGCTGATCTAGCCTTCAAAGAAATCCAGTTTGACACCTCTGCCTTAATCCCTACACCAAACAGGGATCTCTCTATGGATAGTATACTGCCCAGTGCTCCAAAGGCCCTTATGGCCCTGAATCAGTTGTCTTTCAAGGAAGAGTTTAAGATGTGACTGTTCTAGCAGACTCTGAGTTAGTTTTCTGAAAGGTCACACAGAGTACTATAATATATCTGATTTGTTCTTCCCAACATGTTTGTTTTACTTTTTTTTTATTGTCTGCAAGCCTCTCAGTTACTAATTGGGCAGTCTTAAAAGTGGATTGACTGGCAATTTTGAAAAGGACATCTGCCTGAATCAATGGGCTGACTTAGTTTAAAGTAAATTCCTGTGGTTCCCATTCACAACTCTGTTTTATAAGAACTTCAGTATGCATAGCTTGGAGTTTTTCTGCAACTTCCATATTCTGAACACATGTATTCTTACAGCTACATCTCTAATAACTGACTACAAACAGCAAACAAAAAACCTTAATTTAGAAAATACCTTTCTCAGAACCTATATTTGGCACTTGTTACAAAATGTCATTAGGAAATTATTTAAATACAGCATAAGACAATATTCATTTTACAGCGATAGTCAAGCAAGATGGGTGGGTGAGCTAAACCGTTTCCTTTTCTGCTCAAGTGTATGGAGGTTCAAGACAATGGTTCCAGTAGCTGCTTCAAATTCTCAGTCTATTTCGTCATTTTCCTGCTTCCCAAAGTCTTCACATTTCTTTCCTTTTTGTTCTCATAGGGCTGGCTGTAATAGTAGGCAGAGGGAAGTAGCTGCCATATATGGCAGGTATAGTTGTGAATCAGATTTACTTTTTTGACTTCTGCTCTCTGGAGCTAGACTCCAAAAGATGCTGCCCTGAACAGGTTGATTTGCATCCCTAAGTACTTTTTCACAATACATCACATGCAATCTTGTTGGGAAAGGTCTCTCTATGAAAAGAAAAGAGTGAAGGCCAAAGAAAAGAGAAGCATTGAACATGCACTGATGTTGTGTTTAAGGGACATATGTTCATGCAGCCATTATCTATGGTTTCATTTATTGAAATAGAGACTAATTACAAATAAGTGGCACACTGAGTGGCAGCAAACTGCTGCCATTAACACTAGCTGAATTTGCTGGCCTGGACTAGTGTTGAATTCAGAAAATATTATCATCCTGTGTTTGTGAAATCACCACTGTATGTGCCTCCATTAGCATACAAACTTGGGCCAAACCTTAATATCTCTGAAACAATATATTTATTTTATAAGGGGCCCTCCAGCGAGCATCTGCATTTATTTACAAAGGGCACCATCAATATACATACAGATAGTTTGCCAGTCCATGCAGAAACCTAGAAACTTCCCCAATGATTTTTGGGACCCAAAGTGCTGATATTGGTATGTTTGTGATTGAATATGTATCTCACATTCTCATGTGAGGAGTAAGAAGGGTACAGACATCTACCGCAACTCTTTCCCTAAGGCAGTAATGCCATATAAATAAAGTAAAAATACTATAGAATCAAATTCCACATCCTTATAACTTCATCTTTATGTCAATTTTGTGACATGGGTGGTTATATAAATTTGATAAATAATTTGAAACAGACTGATGTAACTCAAAATTACAACAGTTGGAGGTGATCATATCCAGTGAGAGCATTTTTTTAGGAAAAAGAATGAAAGTAAGAATGAAAAGGATGAAAGTAAGAAATGGAACAAAGAGTAGAGGAACACAGCAACTAGCTGAAGTTGAGAGATAAGAGCCTTGGTGGCGCAGTGGTTAGAGTGCTGTACTGCAGGCCACTTCTGCTGACTATCAATAGCCTGCAATTTGGCAGTTCAAATCCCACCAGGCTCAAGGTTGACTCATCCTTCTGAAGTGGGTTAAATGAGGACCCAGATTGTTGGGGGTAATATGTTGACTCTGTAAAATGGCTTAGAGAGGACTGAAAAGCACTATAAAGTAGTATATATGTCTCAGTGCTTATTGCAACTGCTATAATGTATGGAATAAGGGTGACATTTACTCTGTACCCATATTTCTTTTCATAGCCAGATCTCTTCACTTACTTATCTATGAATAGGATGGATGGATAAATGAATGACTATAGTATTTGTTTTTGGCCCTCCAACATCCAAAATCTCTCCACATACACATACACACATGGCATATTATCCCCATATTAACTTTTGATATGGAAATTTTGCACAGCACTGTTAGATGTAACATGGACTGATGGCTCCCTCCTCCATGAATTCTGTCTACTAAATTCTGTTTTAAACCATCTGGGACATTGGGTGCTGTGCTTTCTCAGTCTGAACTAACTAACTAAATGGGAAAGAAGCCCCATACACTGCAACATCCATTCCATGTCAGTGAACCAGTTCACTTCCTGGCCTTTTGGTTCAATGACCACTGTGATTGCACTGAGAAAATTAATTTCTCTTCCCTTCATTCCCTACATGACAGTCTTATCACATATAAAGGACAACTTTATTTGATTTTATCTTTGTGACAATCTTTTGAGTTAAAGTGAGACTAAATGGCAAAAGATAATTAAATGATCTTCAAGCACTATAGAAACAAGAATCTTAATCTGTGCTAACTAGTTGAATGTTGGCATCTTCACCAACCAATTGGTACATTGATTCTTTTCTTTTTCTTTTCTTTTAAAAATGCTGAAGCATTTGCTGCTTTGAACACCCCACCTCCTTAACTTCAGCACATTTTGAGCTTTTTTTTCTTGACACCATTACTACAGCTATAAAGTACCTTCAGAACCATACTTTAGAACTTCAATGGTGACCTATCCTTCTTTACATTTCCTGAAAATATCCATTTTGCTTTCGTTTTGTTTTCAGATTTCAGATTTTCACTAGCAAAACCACATTGAATTCTTTGGTACTCCATTTTTTTCTCATTGGAACTGTTTGTAGTTGTACTTTAAGTATCACTTTAGCGTAAGCCGACCTTCCATGAGCTAATTTCCCATGAATATCTCTTGCCATATTATCTTATTAGCCATTTCCTTTGTTAATTAAAATCTTTTTTAAAGTGTAAGATACATATTTGACTACATTCAACTGCAATATTACTTTTAAAAATCTCAAATTTTATTTTATTTTTTAAATTGTATCCCTTTGAAAGAAGAAAAATTGCACATGTTATTTTTAAATTAAATTGAAAAAATGTAACCAAGTCTTTTGTTGGATAATATTTTTGTACTACCAAAAGCTGTTGTTTCCATAAAGAGCATTTGAAAGGTCATGATTCTGTTAAAATATTACTTCTATGTTCATAACTTTCTACAGCATATTAATTATCACATATAATTTCTATGGAAATCCCTTTAAATGTTATTTTGGTGATGTTTCTTCCTACACAATAGGTAGACAATATCCTATTTGTAGTGCTGTCTTATATGCGTTTAATAGAATATACACTACATTTCAGTGTCCTCTGTAGTGCTAACTGGGTATAAGATTCAATATCCCACTGTCTACTTTACCATTACTTTAAAATGACTGTATTATTACTTTTGGGTAAAATTATGTATTTCTTACCTATAGGGATTTTTAGTAGGTTTGGTTGTTACTTGCTTACTATCTTTCCCGTTTTACTTTCTTTTGGCTCCGTTTCCCACAACCCATGCCTGCAGTCTGCACCCACAATGAGATAGAAATTGAGACAGATCAGCAGCTGGATAACCTGTACCTGAAAGCTTTAGAGGGTTTTATCACTGTCATCACACAGGATGGAGACATGATCTTTTTGTCGGAAAACATCAGCAAATATATGGGCTTGACACAGGTAAGAGTATTATCTATTCATTTCTCATAGCAAGCTGGATATGACTCTCTGCTCCTTCTCACATTCTGCTCTTGGTAAAGGATTTCTTTAAAAAATAAGATTGAACAACATATTTTCTATATATCTCAGAGAGACAAAAGATACCTGTTCTGGTATCTCTGCGGCATCCATGAAGAGACCAATGCATTTGTATAGGATTAGAGACACAAGAAGATGCTCTGAAACAATAAAAGTTCTATGTACACAGCTGTGTAGGGTAGTAGAATAGGGATTTGTATGCATATATCTGCCCAATAAATCATACCATCAGTTTGGACAGAGGGCGTGAAATAGTTTGTACAGGTAGGATTCAGCCATGCATCCTCCTTCTGGCTTCCTATCTTTTTATTTCACGTTGATGGTTTGTTTTGATTTCCATTATTGTCTAGAGTTCAGCTGAAGACTTGGGTGAGTTTGAAACCATTATTAGTAAGGACAAGTCTGTACAGCAGAGTTCACAGTGTGATTAACCCTGGTCTAGGGTGCTGTTAAAAGCCAGGCTGGTAGTAACAATGTTCCTCATTCATGACTTTATCATGGGTGAGGCAGTCAATGTGGCATATGTAACTGAGACAAGGGTGGGCTTGAAAAGAAGTATTTTTTCCTGTCCAAATGGGTTTCAAGTTTAGAACTAGCTGTGATTCCTGCACAGATGGGATGGAATGGCAGTTCTCATTCACAAAGCCCTAATGGTTTCATCACTTGGAAGCCTGACAGAGGCTTTGCACTGCAGTATATGAAACCCTGTGATTGAAGTTGGGGAAACAGGTGGGTTTGTTGCTGCTTTCTGGACTTCCTGCTATGCAGCAACTTCATTGCCCGAGGTTGAGGTGTCCATGGAGTCTTCAAGATTGATAATTTTGGGAAATTTTAAATTTCCTTAATGTGGCATTAACACAGGAGTTCACATGGTTACCATGATTGCCATAGATTGAGCCAAGTTACTGAAAGCCCAACGCAGGGAGGTGATAATGTGCTAGATCTGCTTTTTATCTCAGAACAGTTAAAACATAATTTAAAGATGGAGAACATTAGCATCAGTCTTTTGTAAGAATCGGATGACTCTCTGGTTGCTTGTTAGCTAACTGGGGCTGCCCCTTCCTCCGGCAGGAAGGAAGGCATTATTTGATCAGAAATATCCCAGGTAACTATTGGACCAGATTCATGTTTTTCTTGGAGTTCAGTCAAGGCTTTAATCTCCATCTGGAATGGGAGTACTATGGGAGTTGGGACCAGATTGTTGTATAATTCAGTTATGGGTACTTGTGCCTTTGCTTCTAGAAGAAACCCCATGCTCAAGTGCTCCAAAGCTTCTGATGCATCCTCAAACTGGGAATTTTGCCAGGATTTAGTCTCTTATCATCTGTTTCCTACCACATTTGCTCCTGCTGAGTCAGCCTCAAGTAGTTGATTATTTAACTTGCTGGATCAGAATTCTCAGCACTGATTTCTCTAAGTCAGATGAAACAGGAGCAGTTACCTGCAAAGTTTTTGATTCTGTGACTCCTAACGAAATGGATATGATCCTTATAACTGTCAGTCTGTTTACCTGCTTATTAGAACCATCTGCCTTCTGGTTTATTAAGGCCTGCTGAGAAATGATATGAGGTTGGATCTATGCAGTGGTAAACGTTTCCTATCCTAGAAATCCCTTCTCTTGGTCATCTATACTTTTATGGCACATGAGAATTACTGCAATATGTTCTACATGGGGCTGTCCATCTTTATCATGTTGCTTTTATCACATTCTTTCATTTGGTTTTTGTGTGTTTGAGGATAGATGAAATTTTCATCCATCTGTCTGTCTATTTCACTCATTGTATAGGTAAATTCATTTTGTATCTTTTTTATTTCTTCACTTTTTCTCAGTTAATTTTATTCTGTCTTTTCTGCCAACAAGGTGGAAATACCATTCTTGGGTTTTTTTTCCCAATTTTTCTAGGTGGAATTGACTGGCCACAGCATTTTTGATTTCACTCACCCATGTGATCATGAAGAAATTCGGGAAAATCTAAGCTTGAAAAATGGTAAATGTTTTTTTAAAAAAAACTTTGTCCCCTGGAGGATTTATTATAATCTTGAGAATGAGTTTTCAGAGTTGCATTACATGTACACATTATTTATGGGCAAACAATCCCTGGTTGGTGGTGCAGTCAAGGACTCCTAATCGTTACTTTGGGTTAGTGTGGGCATGTCCTCATCCTTTTATCCACCTAGTTCTTTCCTCTAAGTTGATAAAAGAGTATCAGGAGAATCCAGCCCTTCTAAACTGGGATGTCTTCCCTTTACCACCAGGTTTCTGGGCTGATCTCTGGTTTGGGGGAACTGGCTTGGAAAGATGGACCTATTCAAATAGGAATTGACTGCATTGAGAAGAATCCTGAATTATAGCAGCCAAATTGTGTAGAGGTGTGTCTGTGTTGTGAAGCAACAGAGATGTCTTGGTGATGGTATACCAGCCCCATTACCAGTCAGCTGTTATCCAAGATTCTTCTGAAAGCATTTTGAAAACCATGTTCCTGGGGAAAATGAATAGAATATCCAGTAACAGCTATACTGAAAAGGAGATATGTGTATCCAGTGCCCCTTCCTAACAAATGTTGCTCAGATCCAATGCATATGGACAGTGGTGGTGAAGGGCTGTACACTCCTCCCAACCACCACTGCTCACCTTCATTGCTACCAACCATCACCTGTTATTCATGCTCCTAGTCAACATAGATTTATCACCATCAGAATACTCCTTTCCTCCCTATTTCCCATACCTCCTTAGCTGTTAATCACTTCATTTAGATTCATCGTGGCTTGGGAATTCTGGGAGTAAATGTTCACACATCTTAAAGGGATCCAGGTTGAGAAACTTTGGTCTAGAGAGTCAGGAAACTATTGATCCTTGTGAATAATAATGACCTTAGAATGTAACCAACAGAACAGAAAACCTTACTTAGTTAATAATCACTCAGAAAGGTAGCAGGTTTATAGTAACGAAATAGTGAAGCTAAGTAACACTTATAACAAAAGTGATGATTTCTTCAAACCTGAGCTGTCTGCTCATTAAAATCTAATTATTAATAAAGCAATAACTAATTTATCTTGCAACATTTCAATCCTCATGTAAGATGACATCAAAAGTAAAAATTCAAACCTTAGAAATTCTGAGAAAAAATGAGTTTATATATATTTCCAGAGCTAATTTTTTTTTTTCCTTAGGTCCAGGTTGTGGGAAAAAAAATAAAGAAATGTCCCTGGAACGTGATTTCTTCATGAGAATGAAATGCACTGTTACTAACAGAGGCAGAACTGTAAATCTCAAATCTGCCACATGGAAGGTAACTTTAGTGACAATGGTTGAAAAATTCAATCTTATTTTTCCCCATTGTTCTATATTATAACAATATAATTATACAAACAACTTTTACATTTCAGGTCTTGCACTGCACAGGGCAAATTAAGGTCTATAATACCTGCTCTCCTCATGCTCTGTGTGGTTATAAGGACCCACTCTTATCCTGCCTTATACTGATGTGTGAGCCTATTCAGCATCCTTCCAATACTGATATTCCACTGGACAGCAAGACTTTCCTGAGCCGCCATAGCATGGACATGAAATTTACTTACTGTGATGACAGGTGAAATAATAATCTCTTTTTTGTTGGGAAACATAAGCAGCCTTGTCTATTTCTAATATGACTGAAGAATTTTTTTTAAAAAATTATTAAAATAGGCATAGACACGGCACAAAGAGAACATGGCAGAGTTCTAGTATATTACACTGGATCATCCAGAGTCTTTTAGTGGGAGAATTATATTCTTGCAAATTGAAAATAGTACCATGGAGGTTGATCTGTACTAACTTTTCTTCTTGTCATGTTATGTTTTCTTTTAATTTGAATATATCCAAAGGGAAAACATTCAAAATTGTTATCTCCCTCCTGTAGTCTGAACTGGTACAGCCAACTATATATTCATTCTGTTTCTGGAGGCCTGAAGTTTGGCTTATTCATATGTGGGGAATGGATCACACCTCTTCATTTTACAGAGAAAGATATTGTTCACTAAATACCCCAAATGCTTTTAAAAATACTTTGTTCTCTAATAAAGAAGATTGGTTTTTTAATGGAAAGATCTCATCAAACAGTATCTTCTCCTATAGAATCTTAAATAGAAAAATGCATTTTATTATACCTCATTTGGCCTAATATTCAGATTAAGACCATATCAATTTTTTATTTTCTTCTCTTATTTATTTATAAATTTTATTTGCCACCTGTCTCATGACCACCTGTCATCCATCAATATATAGGAGTTGTATCCCATCAGTTTCGGAACATCAGGTGCAGGCTGGCTATCCTCAACTACTTTTCCTCAAAAATCTGAGCAATAGCTTTATGATGGTTCTTCAAGTAATTATAGCTTCCACGTATAGCCAAATGTCACAAAGCCTTAGTACAAAATTTTGCAGGGTCTCCTTTTGCAGTGTGGCTCATTTTGGAGTATATAAATACTACTGATACCTGCAGGTAAAATTAAGCCAGAGACTTTTATAGGCATCATGAAACTGCCCACTTGCCTATAATATCCATTTCCAAAGCAAACTGGTGAGGGGAAAGCTTGCCAAGGAGAAGAAGGGAAAGTGGGATGTTTCTCTAAGGGATTGAAAGGAAAGGATTGATTACCTTTGATCAAATACTAAGTCACAAACAAACAAAAAAGATGAACCAAACTTATACAAATTGAAAGCCAGATAGTTGGGATAACCTCTCATTGCATCCAAAATATAATGGAAGCTTGTAAGTTCTGTTCCTGTGGCAATTATTAATTGCCAAAACCTGATGTCCTTTAGTTATCTAGTCCATTTGTATTATACAGGGATTTTATATTCCTATTGAACAGAAATTGTATTTTGGAAACCATTACCAGGATATTATTCATTCAGGAAAGAGAATTCATTTTAGTATTAGAGGGCACTTGATAACAGCTATATATTTTATGTTTTCAAAACATTAAATATTATTCTTTTAATACCATCAACACATTGTCCCCATAGATAATTCTCACATGTGGGCTACGTAAGAAATTGAAGGGCAACAAACTGCTTTGAAAGGGAACAAACTGCTCTGAAAAGAAAAAACATTTACCACTAAAATTGGAAATAGAACAACCATGATAAGAAAAGTGTTAAGAAAAGTGTGCTATATATAAGAAGTTAAATACCTGTTTCCCCGAAAATATTTCCAGATTTTAGGATCTGTGAGAATTATAATACTAAAATTCAAATAAAGTGATGAAAATTGTGGCCTGATAGAAAAAATATTTGAAACATTTAATCCTAACTGAGAATTAAGTGATATAAACAGGTGTATGATCAAATCAACAGTTTTTGTGACAGCGTATTTTGAAGAATATCATCAATTCTTATTTCTTTGAAAAAAAATGATATATTTGGTATATGAAAAAGATCTGTCTTTCCTCTCTCAGTGGAGCTAACTTTGTGAACTATTGATGCTCCATCCTTGCACAAATGCAAAAATTCCTCATAATGCAGAAAATAAGTTTCATTGGCAGATATTAGTTTATAAATAAAATAATATTTTATGGTAACCCTATAGAGGTTGAGCAGGCCTCTACCCTCTTAGCCTCTTGAAAAGCACTGAAGACCTGGCTCTCTTTGCAAGTGCTGGGTGAATGGATTTAATGAGAGACTGTTTGTCAGAAATTTAACTTTGATGCCAGGTTTTTAATGTTTCCGGTTCAAATAAATGTAATATGGTATTGTGCTGTTTTGTTATTGCCATTGTTTTAATTGCTGATTGGGAGCCCCGCCCCCCCAAATTTCAATATAAGATGGGTAGCTAAATAAATGTTTCAAATAAATAAATAAAGTGGAGAACTAGGAGCAACATTTAAGTCTGCACCCATCCTGATTAGTCTATCACATGGAGGCAGCATATAGGCACCTGCTGTAATTAAGTTATGAGGTAAAAGTGCACATGCATGCACAGAACCAACACTGTTCTTTCTACATAGAAGTAACTATAATTACTGTTGGTAAAGAGATGGGTTAGATTTCCAGAAGTCATATTTTTCTGCATTTACTATTTCTTTCAAGACAAAGAACAACATCTGCTGCCCTCCAATCATCTAGAACTGTTCTAATTCCCCAATTGTTATGGGAGGATTATACATACAGATTTAGATAGCCCTTCAGTAAGATCTTTCAGTAGCCTTTGATGCAGTTCATCTGACATTGGAAGCTTAAATTCATTCAAAATAACTAGATATTCCCAAAACTTCTATCTAACTGAAGGTTCAGTCCTATCCCTTTTTAGTTGCCCTTTTGTATCTAGAGTTACATGTTATTAGCATTTTGTTCCCTTTATTGAGCAATTGGCAGGCTCTTTCAGTACTCCTGAATGTAGCTGAACTGGTCCTGGATTTTTTTAAATTAATAGATATGCCTTCAATTACATTCATTTGTAAAATGTAAAATCACAGAAATGAATCTTATTCTTCAATGAAAAACGTCATTGAATGTGATTCCTTCTCCAGATCCTTGCTGATGTTTTGTAACTAATGTATAAGCCTAAGACATTTTGGCTATCTTGCATATTACCCAAAAGAAAAAAGAACAAGTAGCTAAAGTCACACATTCCTGTAAAAACACATTATTTTATATGCATAGTTGCAAATTAAGAAATAATATCTTAAATATCTCACCAGCATTGTAATCAGATGACCTGTGTACCTATTTGGTCACTGCTCCAGGTGTTAACTACTGAATAGAATTTTCAAGCATCTACCTTTATTTTGTTAAGGGGTTTTCATTTTTTTTTAAAAAAAAATAGATGAACTGATCTCCAAGCAATCCTTCAAACAGAGGTTGTTGTGAAGTTAAAGGCTATTTCTGATTTTCCTTCAAGTAAAGAAATACCTTATGGCATAAATTTTCTTGTCCTTAAAATTTATCATGTCCTGTGGTTTTGCTGCATACCTAAGACTATGCAATACATTCCACATTTTATAGATTTTTACCTAAATCTGGGCTTGGCATAAAATTAATCTGGATCTAATGTTGAATCTGTATATGATTTGCATAGACAGCAGGGTTTTGTTTATTTGTTTTTTTATCGATGTTTGCAGTTATAAAAAGGATTTTATACTCATCTATCCTTAATTATATAGCTAAAATGGTTGAAGTCAACAAAAGCAGACCTTGCTGCAGAGGGACTGTGAGTTCAGTTTTATTCTGATAGCAACCAAATTCCTGGACTTTGTAACTCGAGCCAAATGTTGTTTACTGTGGATTTCAACTGATGGTTTGGGGAGTCAAGGGGAAAAAAGCAAACCTTCAAACCCAAAGTTTGCAAACAAGATATTAATTCTTGAGTAATGTCTCCCCTTGGATTTTATTTTGTTTTGTATCATTTAGCATTTCAGTATGAGAGTAAGCTTTTCTGTTCTTTCTATGGTGTTGTTTATTTATTTTATATTGGTTTGCGAAAGCTGATAGTAAGATAACAATGCTGCCCAGGACCCTTTGTGAGTTCAAGGTTGAGAAAGCTTGCAAGAGGGCTTCTGAAATGCTTTCTAACCTCTTGATGAAAATGGTCATTGTAAGCATCTTCATTTTTTCAAAGATAACTAAGAAAAAGATGTGTTTTCCTCTGGTGTTCTCTTCGTGTACATTTTCTGTGTCTGTCTGCACTGGGAAGCACAGGACAGGTTACCTATCCAAAAGATGCACTGGGTTGTGTTTTTTTTTTTTTTTACTGGAAAGTTGTTCTCTATGTCCTTTTGCCAGATCTGTCCCATTTTTAATTCTGTCTTTCTTAAACTGACTTCTCCCACCATGTCAAATCTCATTTTCAATTATTTTTCAAAAGTTCAATTTCCAGACAACTATAACCAATTTGTAGACAGCATTCTGTTAGGTTAGAAAGGCTGGATTTGTGAATAGGTTTAAGTAGATGTCTTTGGAATTGGGCAAGAGGCATTTGTGATTTCAATTGGAAAGGTTCAAGGCTTGAGAAAGTAATTGTCAGCATCCTACAAATGTGCCTTAAGTTGTCATAGGAATTAACCAGTGCCAAATCTAGAGAAGCACAGTCTTCTCTTTGGTGTGGCAATTAGTAAAACATGAGCTTAATCCAAGTAAACAAGAAAGTGGAAAAAAGAAATTAACGGTTGCCATGTTTTAACTATCTTTCGTATAAAAAGGTATAAAAAGGGAAAGCTATCAAACTATTAAGGTTCTGTTATAATAGTATGTATCAGTAGAGTTCCAGTAATTTTTTGTAGTATCTGTTTCCTGACCCCAAAGACTAACACTCACCTGCATACCTCAGTTTGCAATTAATGTACTTTTGACTTCACAATTTTCAATAATCCTGTTTGGTTCTTGCAGATTACACAGCCATTATGTTACAGTCAGCTTGATGAACCTTAAGTCCACCTGAATGAAGAGCAATGTTTGAAGATCTTTTAAGAAGGAAGCAACTATTTAGGTTACAAAAGCAATTAAGTTGAGTTGACATTGCTTAGGACCCAACAAAATAAAACAGAGGAGAACCCATGTCTCAGTGCTAAAGCATCTGCTTTCCACAAAGAAGGACCAAAATTCAGCCCTTGG